CATAGCTGTTTTTTGGAATGGGAAAGGTTGCTGTAGTCATGGGATTGTTCGTGGTTTGTTCCCTTCCTTATAGGAAGGCTGCATGCTCATGATTCATTTATTTTAATATTCTGTCATGAATCAAATATGCCTATGGTCTTATAGAAGTCAGTCATGGTTTTCATTGTATGTGTTGTGACAGGAAAGACTTGGCTCAATCACTTTAAACACTATGAGGGATGTATTTGTTAAAAAAAATTTTTTTAAAAAAAACACACAGTGTAATTCTAAATAAAATCTAAAATTGTAAAGTAGCCATTCTGTCAGGTTGTTTTATCCCAGCACATTAACTAATGCAACATTAGTATAGGTCATGTAGTAATGAGTTGCCTTCTGTACTTCATCTAAATATGTTGTTTAATTTTTAGTCATAAGACAGTCTCCTCTTTGGTTATTGTCCTGTTATCTTTATTGCTTGTGCTTATCCATGTGTTCAGGAAGTTCAGTAAAAACCATTTGGTATCTTTGCTCCTTGGAAATGAATGTATTTTTAAAGTGATACCTGCACTGTGAAGTAAAAATGGGGTTGCTTTTGCAAGAAAAATTGAACAGGTATTCCTCTGCCAAGTGTATATCTAAGGCTCACCTTTTATTATGTGTGTATATATAATTTGTCATGATTACCCCATAGGGCATAGGGAGAATGTAACCTACAAATAGATGGGAATGAGAATCAACAGTCCTGATATACAACAACAGCAACTTTCCCCAACTGCTGTTTATTTATTTATTTAGTGGATTTCTACCCCACTCTCCCAGCGGAGCCAGCTCAGGGCGGCTTACATAAAAACATGTAAATTAATAAGATAAATAAGTTACATTAAAAACATGAATTACAATTAAAACAATTCAACCTGATATATGAATTGCTGCAGAATAGAGTCATGGTTTGCTTGATTCTCATGAGTGCAGCATGGATGCTGAGCACTCAAGTAACTGCTTGCATGTGCCAAAAAAAAAAGGTTAATGTACTATTTAGTTGTAAGTGCTGAAAGGGCAGATGTTGGTCCATGAATGAATACTTGTAGGTGCTGGCAGCAAACTGCTGGCTGAAGCCACTGAAATTTGAGGCACCAGCTGTGCATTTTTATCTAGCCAACTTTTCCCATTTTTCCTAAACTCAGATGATGGCTGCATCCTGTTCTCCCCCCCCGGGGGGGGGTCATCTTATCCTGTTCCTTTAATCCTGGGATGGCGATCTTTTTATCTGAGATGAACTTGAAAGAGCAATGAGGAATGATTTGTAATGTTGTGGAGTTGATTTTAGTTCTGGTTGCAGGCCCCATCTTGCCTGTTCCTTGATTTTAGCAATAAACTCTGTTTTCTCTTGTCCTAGTTGCCCTTGTTTGTGATGTGCCACCTCAGTTTGCCCCTGGCTTGGGCGCCTGCCAGGTCTTAGGTGGAAAGGTGCTTGAACAGAGATCACACTCATTGACTTAGATTGGGGAAGAAGGATAAATCTTGTCAGGAGGAGCATTGCCGCCTGAAGATGGATTACAGCATGGCATGCTGGCCCCTGTTTGCTGTGCCTCATTTGCCTGCATTGCCAAAGGAGGCCTTCTAGTCACCAGATACAAAATAGCGTATACAAGCTTATGGGAAATGATGAATGCAGGCACTTACTTGGGTTCCCCAGGATCATAATTGCCATCTTTCATTAGGCTTTCAGACCACTGGGAGTTAGAGCATCTTGTTAGTTATAAGGGCTGCTGATGGTTCCTAGCTTAAGGAAACCTATAGAATCCACTGTTGCTTCAGGCACCTCTCTGTGAGGGCATTTATCCTCTTTTTGTTGGCTGGGGTGGCTTTTACATTGGCAGTTTCCTGGTGGCCATGTGCATGCATCTCCTCTGCCTGTGGCTCAAGCTCCCAAATGACTTCTCTTTCACTAACTTTAACTTTATCCAAAGCCACTTGGAGGGTTTCCAGGTGGTACAAACTGATAAACAAAATGGCTTAAGTGAATTTGCTTAAACATTTATTCAAATGATGAAGTAACTTTCTAATTACTTTATGTGTAACAAGCTCAGATACCTTAGCCATTGTTTTATAGTGCAAACTTTACAGAGCTTTTTTTGGGGGAAGGATTAAGTGGCAGAAGTATTCTTCAAATTGTTTGTTGTTGAAGTGAAATCTTGCGCCTGTGTTGGCTTGAAAAAAAAAATTCTTATTCTGCTACGTTGCTGATGTGTGTCACTATACAATAGGAATCTGGGGTGCACTCGACTGTTTTCTGACCTTAAAACCTATTCTCCCCCTTAGTGGATTTTCTAACATGCAATCTAGTCAGAATACATTTTATATAAGTTAAGGGGCATTGTACTCAGTAGAATTGCAGTGTACACTTAAATTATTGTCCCAATATTTCTCATGTATAGTAGGGACATGCAGCTCTTCTGGATCCCGCTTTTAACATGTTAATTTTCAGTTTATGGCAGTTTATTTAAGCCAAATGGATTTATGGGATTGTCAGAAAATCTGATTGAATGCAGGTGATATCGAAGTATCACTGAAAATATCTCACTGAAAATGCCTATGGACTAATGTCTTGTACAGTACATGACTTTACCAATCAAGAGCAGGCCCTTATGGATTGGATCCAATGATCCTTTGGTTCAAGAATCACAGATCTTTTCCTGTGTTTCCTCCAGCAGTATCAACCATAGGAAAGCTGATTTCTGTGGTTGCAGGACCCACATGAGCTGGTAGCCATATGGCTGGGGAGAGATGTACTGAGGATGAGGGAAAGTGTGCAATTCTCCCCCTCTGTCCTCTCCCTGCCAACACCAGCTCTACAAATGTGTCACCTTTCCCTCGAACCCACATAGCTGTTAGTCCACACAAGCCCAGGAATCAAGTTTTCCAACGTCTGAAGGGACTGCTGGGGATAGGGGAATGCAGGAAAGATCCATGACTGCCCCCACATTCTGCTGACTAATCACTGCATCCAACCCCACAATGTGAGGTCCTGTATTTCAATGTGTGTTGAATGACCACACTGGTAGCTTCCTACTCTACCTCTGCAAATATTACATCTACTGCATAAGGCTTCCATTGGTGTGAGGGGGGAAATCAGCATTTTTGAATGAGTGGTACTGACCAGTAGGGATATATCTGTCATAAAACACAAATGAGGGAACAAATTGCTTAAAGTGAAACTTGTTCTTCAAGGATTTTCATTTGGCTTTAGTCAGTGGGATCCTCCAATCATATGATAGGTCTTCATGACATTCTAATCTCTATTTTATCAGATCTAATCTTTATTTAACCACTCATTTGCCAGCTCATTACAACTCATTATCCTGTTTGCGGTGTTGCAGCTTGTCTACAATTGACTGATCTTTGTGAACCGTACAGCATTGCTTCTTTATCAACCTTTTATGTGACAAAATGTTCTCTCTTTTCCTATCTCTGCCTTCAGTTTCTTCATGAAGAACTGCTAACTTACTCCAATTGTGTTACTCCCAAATTATTAGTTCACCAGTTCAGGTACACTGAGTGATTCAAAGATACAACAACAAAAAGCTGAGACACAATATCAGACAATAATTTTATTTGTTCAGTACTGAGGAACACTGTTGCTGAACCTTGTACTGGAATACCTATTTTGTTTTAAGTTAAATAGATTCTCTGTTTTAAAAATTAGAAAATGCGTACGCACCGTTCTTTTTTTCTTTTTTAAAAATCTTATGAGACAGTGAGCGTGCAGATATTTAGACTGGCTTTTTGTGCCGGTGTAGCATTGTGTGGTTTTTGAACAAGTCAAATCATTAAAGACTAACAAAATTTGAGTCACTGCTCACAAAAGGTTGTACCCTGCCACGAATTTTGTTAGTTTTTAAGGTGCTATTGGACTCTTGCTCTTTTCTACTGACTACTCTTCTACTGCTCTTTCCTACAGACTAATGGCTGCCCATCAAGTCAAATAATTGTCTTCCATTATTGAGAATGAGGCTTGTAGTTGACTTTTCTTTCTCCTTATGTAGAAAGTTGGGAGTGAAAGGAGCTAATTATTTCTTAAATAGGTCAGGAGTTCCCTTAGATTATTAATGGGAAATATCATGCTGGGACGTGTCATGTTGATTATTGCTATTCTTCACCCCTAGGATGGAACATTTAATGAGCAGAATGGGGACTGTTCCTTAGGAGCCTCTGCTTTGCCAACAGGCAAGGAGAATTGACCAAAAGGTTTGCTTCAGAAGGCCTTGCACAGGAGTCCTTCTTGATACAACTAGGGGGTCTTATTGTCCTGAGGATAATCAATCAGCATCTTATGTTTCCTGTGACCTCATTCCCCCCCACCAGCATGTCAGGTGGCACTATTGGTGTGGATCTTTTCCCTTTGTCCCCCCTCCCCATTCTTGTTCAAAAAGTGTCTAAACATTTGCAAGCTTACCATCTTATATAAACTCAATAAAGGCTTTATTAGGAGTGAATATATATGAGTATGACTTGGAAAAGGAGTCTTGTTTCTTAATTACAACAGTTTGAATGGAGGAAGATGATGGTTCTTTTCCTCCTCACCCTACTCCATTTTTACTCGTATGTTTGTTACCTACAATACTATGGGTTGGATCCCAGAAGACCAGTGGGTATACAACCCTCTTCTGAATGGAGCTTTCCCTGGAGGCAGGACATTCTGTTGGTGGTAGAAGAGCATCTTGTGTTGGGGGGAAGCGGTCTCTGCTGGAGAAGAATAACTCCGCTAGCACAGTGGATCCACAGGATCCAACGCAGAGATCAAACATTGTTTCTTGTGTCTTGAGTAGCCCACATAAGATGTCCCATTCTTAGTTTACATGAAAAAATGGTAGATAGTAGAGTTGGAGATGCATATTCCGTTCTTCTTTGTAGTGACTCTGATTTTTTTCTGAGTGTTTTTAAAACTTTTTGAAAAAGATTTTTTTTGAAAGGACAACTTCTAATACTTGTATATATATATTTTTTCAACTCTCCCACAGATATGCACTTATTTGGCCATTATCCAGCTCATGATGATTTCTATCTAGTAGTGTGCAATATCTGCAATCAGGTAGTCAAGCCACAGGTTTTCCAGTCACACTGCGGTAAGTGAAAACTTTTGTTCCTGGATTATGGCTCGGTGTACATGTCCCATAAGATATGGTATGCTAGGAGTAACATTTTTTTTTTAAGATGAACTTTTCACTTTGGAACTCATTAGTCATTTTCCTGCAAAGACTAGAATGTGAATACGCTTATGTATGTAAATATACACACACCTATCTGCCTTCCAGGTGGGGATGTGGATACGTGTTCTGTGCCTTTTCATTCTGTTCTAAGACCAGCCCAAGACATTTTGCTGACCGTCCAAACAGCATATCCCTTTCACTAATATGTATAGGCACTAGGAGATTACCCTGTGCAACCCATATCAAAATGGATGATAGGAAAACAGTTTCTCACTCCAAAGTGCCAAGTTTGGATAACTTTCTTGTTCCTCCATCCTTTTGGTGGGAAAGACTGCACCCTCCCACCTTTCGGGAGTGACGTGCTTCTGGGTCAGCCAGGTATGCAAACATAGGTAGAACCTTTGCAGAGGAACTGTGCATGCAAAATCCAACGCACGTAGGCCTGAGCTGTACAATTTGCACCCTGCATACAATCTAGGAATCGACTTAATGATTTATATTTACATGCATTTAGTTATATGGAAATGTTGCCCCTATAAGTAAGTGTTTTGTAAGCCAGAGGTGAGAAAGGAGGACCAAGGTGGGGGCAGGACAGTTTTTCTCCTTCCACTGCAAGTAGCCCCCTATGCAGCGCAAAAATTGTCGAAACAGGCCTCACATCACCATCTCTCCTTACCTTCAAGGGTACGAATGCCTTTGTTTTCTCTAATTTGAAAGTGTTGGGTGCTGTTTACTGTGTTAAACCCCCTCTCCACCTATCTGTACACCCCACAAGGGCAATGAGAGCTTGACTAATGCAGGCCTAAACAGTCACATGACTGGAGTTGAATTCATCAAGCCTCTGAAAGTGCTGCTGTATTTGCAGTACTTGCTTGGTCATGTTTCACTGTGATTTAGCACACAAGCATCAAATCAAGACCAAGGGAAACTGTCTGATGCATCCTGAATTGGCCATAAGTTCCCATTCAGATCAGTGGGATTTACTTTCCAAAAAAGCATTTAGGATCTGGGTTTTTAATTATTTTGATGTACCCTTGGTTTTAGTTTACCCTTAGTTATAATTGTAAATCAGGAGGGAGATTCAAGGAAAAGCCTTACTGAATTTCTATTCAGTAGTATGAAAGGGAACCCTGGTATGAGGTGCAAATATTTTATTTAAATACTGGCTATATGTAGCTTTTTCAAAAAAAATACTGACCCCGTTACATGCACTTTTCACTGTGGTAATGCTATTCACTCTGTCTGAAGGTAAATTTCTTTCTAAGGTATTGGCTGTGACCTCCTGGCTTGTGTGCATTGGCTCTCTCACCACACTGTGTGCTGATAGCCATGAGGATGTGAACACAATTCACACTGTTTTGGTTTGTGCATTTCTTTGAGTTATGGGTTAGCACCCCTCCCCCTTGGGGGCCCTCCTACCATGAACACTTAATGCTGCTATGACTATTTCTGATCTGATTAACCGATTATTAACTACTGATTTATTGGCTAACTATTTTGATGTGTGAAATCAAAGGAACATTTGCAGGATTTAGTTGAAATGCTTTTGACTTCCTGCTTTATCAGCCTTCAGTGCAATTAAGCTAGCTTTTTAGGAGAAGACTGCTAGTGACTGTAAAGTAGTTAATGGTGAACTATAAGTATTGAGTTTTGCAGTGGGCTCAGAATGGTCATTACTTACCTGGCATTCTGGTCAATCTTTCAGCAACAAATGGTATAAGAAAAGTTTTAGAGCACATATATTTTCACAACAGGCAGCTGACAGGTTAACATTTTATCCAGGAAAACAATCTGTGAGAAAACTGGCAGTACTGTCACTAGAATATTAGATACAAGCTTAGAGTGTACTCTTTGCTTGAAAGCACTGTAAATAATAATCTAAACATTGTACATGCTCTAGTCTAAAACTTGGGTTACCAAGAAGAAAAGGTCCAATAATGCAAAAATTCAAGCACTCACAAATAAAGAGAACATTTGTTGATCTTTGGGGGGGGGGGTACCCCATGCAAGAGGCAAGAGTCTAAAATTGTGTGACAGTTGGGGGTTTGCTTGATATTCCCCAGTACGGAGAAATATGGTGTTCTTGGGAGGTTTGGGCTGTACAGACCCTTCACCTGTAGGGTTAAGTTTCTCTCTCTATAGCAGAGAACAGACAGGAGGGGAGAAATCAATTGTTTTCCAAGTCTCACCCAGTGAGGCTTTAGAAATGGTAAGGGCCTCCCAGGACAGAGACAATGAAATGTCAGCTCACACCTCCAACTTAGAAGCTGACTCCTAGAAAGGGACAGAGACTTGGGGAGAGGTTTAAGAGGCTAGAATGCATCTTCCTAGATACTTCAGGAAAGGCTTCTTTGACCCACGGGGTGGGTGTGGGGGGACTAACAGATAAATAAAACCCCTTGGCACAGAGGAGGAGGGCTTGTTTTTTTGGCTGATTCTCACATTTGGGATTCTGCTGAAGGCCACCATTGCCATGTGGAGGTCTGGCTACCTAAACAAAGACACCAAAGTAATGGAAAGCTTTTAGAACAGTATAACTTCAAAGTTAAAGAATGTTAAAAAATAAGATCAGCAAGGGCATATACAGAGTGAAGGACAGAAGAACTGCATGTTTACACCTTTTGGATTCCTTGCTCAATCTGTTGCTATGCTGAGTATGCATGTAGATATCTTATTTTTAATAAATGCTTTATAATTTTGAAGGCTAGTAGTCGTTCTCTGTATCATATTAGACCTCCACTGTTTGAATGTGCCATTTAAAATGGGCACCATGAGAAGGGGTGTGGTCAGTTGGCAAATTGCTAATCCCTCAGTGGTGCTCAAGTACAGTAAGCTGTCCCCGTCATAACGAGTCACTGGGTAGCAGGAGATGCAAATACTGGGTGGAACCTTAGCACTGTAGTTCAGGGAGAGGAATCCAGGAGCCATGGTCCTCTGAGTGGTTAATTCCTACAAAGGCCAGTTGGTGACATTGGTACTAAAAGAGGGAGGGTCAGGAAAGCTGGGAGACTGGCATGCTGCCAGGTGAAGACTTGGACAGCTGCTGTTGCCCACATGCCTCAGAGGGCAGAACAGAGTAGTGATAGTAGGTTAGTGGGGCTGTTTCGCCACACCCAGCGCGATAGCATCAGCTGCTGAAGAGGCAAGCTAGAAGTTTGGTTTCTCTCTTGGGTAGTACCTGCTGTAAAACTGGCAAGTGAAGCATGGCAAGTGAAGTTCTGGACCTTGCTTAGATGATTAAGTAGATCTGACTACATGTTATAATAATCTGTTCTGCACTACCTATGATTTACTTCTATATTCTCTGGGGTTGCTGTACTTTCTAGAGGCTGGAATAAAAGCTAGTGGCCATATTCTTTACTCACATCACCATCACCTAGCAATAAGTGCTTCACAAGTTATGGAACCTACATGCTTTGGGGGTAGGTCATCGGCAAGAGGGGCATGGTGTTGGAAAGATTTCTTTTAAAGGAGATTGGTGTCTGTCCTTTGTCTTCGAATGTCTGGTGGTTGTAGAGAATTGTACATAAACATAAAGAATCATTATTGCCATTGCATATATGTAAAACTGTGAAGCATTTTTAACCACTTAATGATTGAAATTTTGATGTAGTACCAAGTAATGTGCTTCAGGGGAACCATATCAGAACTATGAGGTATTAGTTCATCATTACTGTCTTAGTTCCATATGTTGTTTCAGTGCTCATATCACTATCCCACCTGAAAGTTGTTTGGTCAGCTGTGCAGATCCTTATCAGTACAAGAAAAATGTTGGGAGAGTCAAGGACATGAATTCATTATCAGTAGGCTAAACTGAAGTAGCCTTTTAAAGAGCAGTTCCCTGATGATCATGAGGTTTAAAAGTAATATTAATTGAAATATAAAGCTGTGGCTCCTTCTTTAATACAGAATTTTGGCAAGCCAGAAGTTAAAGTGGTGCACCCTAAAGGAGGGCACATTCACAGTTAGGTTATGTTTGGAAACCAGATAATCTTGCCAGCTTTTTAGTTTGATTGGTGACAATCAATCTAGCCCTGGACAAACCATTTACATCATTAAGTCTGGATGAGTAGAGGTAAGCTCCGTTAAGGTGCTATAATTCAGAGGGTTGATTTTGTAACATTTGTTTTACTTCTTCGGTAACTAAACAGGCACAATGGAATCTCCATAGTAGGAAGCTAGTTTTGCATATGAAATCACTACCTTGTGTCTGGGGGCTTGCCTGGACTCCTCTGTTCCCCCCCCCCCACCAGCTCCAGTGCTGGAGAGGGTACAGCGCCTGGCAAGGGCTCTTACCCAGTGGGGACCAAGAGGGAGATGCTGGGAGAAAGTCCAGCTGTGGCAGCTGAGGCAGCAGAGGGCCTTGCACACAGCAGAACCCGATGGCCCGAGCGGCTCTGAGGGCAGGGGGCGTGGCTTAGCACATAGGCGTCAGTGCATGTGGCCCGATGGAGGGTGGGGGGCCTGTCCCCCTCAGGAAGACACATCACCCAGCAACCTGTGGGATTGGCCCAATGCCGCCAGAGGGATTGGGATTGGCCCAATGCTAGAGCAATCCAGCCAGGTTGAGGTAGGATGCTGGTGCTGTTAACCTCCTCTCTGGACTATGTCTGAGGCCCAGGAGTTTGACAGGCGAAGGAAGGAGTGTGACAGTGGAAGGGGCAGTGCACAAGTCCCATGAGGGCAGAGCCTCACAGCCTGTATAAATCGATGTTTGTGACCAAAAAAGTGTCATTTGGTGCTTTAAAGATGAGTGGTAAACAACCCTTTTCTCAGCATCCCACTAGTTTCTGTTACCTTACTATGTCAAATAGAAACTATTTGCCATCTTCAAGACCTTTCTGATATTGCTTTACCCCCTGTCACATGAGGTACGAAGTTCTTTTACGCATAAGCTGGCTGGTATGCCATCTAAC